TCGTTCCTGAACTAGACCATCACCTGCCTTTGCTACCCCTAGCTACCTCTTTCCCTCTTGACTTCCCTTAGTGGAACCTTTGGCTCTCCAGATGTCCAACTGCATCTCTCATCATCCCTGATCACTGGCTGTGCAGCCTGCAGCTGTCAAGGAGCTCAAAGGAATGCACATGGCAGATAGTTGACTCTTTATGGTCAAAGATAGCATTATAGCTCTGCATATCTATGCACACCAATCTAGTGTCTAGGCGGCTATTCCCAGCTCCGCACTCTATGCAGCAGTTGTAGCAACAGGGGATCACTTCTCCTCCACCAGTTTATGTACCTTCCCTAACAGGTTGCACACATGCAGCCAGAGACTATGCCTGCATAAAAGCTTCCTCTGCTCATCCCTCTTCAGTCCCCTCCTGGTTCTGGGAGACAGTGGTGCAGGAGAGGATGGGAAAGCTGCTGGCTCTTCACCTGCCTGACCTGCCTCTTCCGCCTCTTCTTCTGACCCATTCTGTGCTCCATCCTCCAGCTTTGAAGTTTCCCCTGCCTCTGGCTGTTGCCCCATGGCTGTCCCCTACAAATCACTGCCCCCCTCTCCTGAGTCAGACTCCAGTCCCCCTTCCCACAGTGCACACTTGTCAGCACCCCTGAAAACGGCTGATGGAAATGGAAGTGCAACAGGTTCCTCATTCCTGAGCTAGACCATCACTTGCCTTTACTGTCCAAGCTACTTCTATCCCTCTGCCTTCTCTCAGTGCAGGGACGGGGAACCAGTGGCTCTTCCAACTCTGCAACTTTCACCACCCTGACCATTGGTCATACTGGCTGGGACTGATGGGAACTGGGTTAGTGAGGGAAAGGGAGACTTTCAACACCACTTGGGCTTCTTAGCTAACCTGGCAGGTTCTGAGGAGTCCTACCAGAAGCTCCAGGCCTAGCAGACTGGGAGGGGATGTGAGGCCTTTTGGATAGGTGGTCCCGACTTTGAGATCAGCCAATGGAGGACTCACTAACAGAAGAACCCAGGACATAATGCCAGGAGGTGCTGCCGCCTGTGCCCAGGGATGGAGCCAGGTGCTGTGGATTTCCCAGCAGGGATGTCCAATTGTGTAATTACAGGTGCAGCCTGTCAGGAATGTGGCCCCCAGAGTGCAGGGGAGGAGTCAGACACAGAAATTGAACTCAGTGAACAAGGGACCAACTCTGCAGATGAGAGCTGGCTTGACAGAGTCGAGAAAGGGCAATTCGATCCCGGGGAAGACTCTGTTAGCTCTCAAGAAGAGGAAGAGTTGGAAGGCAGCCAGAGTGTTGCTAGGCAATCAGCAAATAAGCAGAGGTCTGAGACTGCGCTGAGTGGAAGTGGGGAGGCCAGAGGCCAGCCTCTCAGTCCCCGTTCTAGGAGACTGGATAAGATCAGAGGGCAATGGAAGGGCAAGAGAGGAAGGGCGGGAGTTTGGTGTCCTTCCTGCTATGGGCGGGGCGAAGATTCAGACTGACCAACTATTGTCTATGTGAGCAGTCGAGAAGCCGTGCTCCGAATGTGATTTTTTTTTGCAAATAAATGTACATAAAACTGCTGGTGATTATAAGTGATCACAGCAGCATCACACCTGGGCAACTACCTCTTGTGACTGTTGATGGCAGCACGTTGTACAAGATGGCCAGGACACCTGCTGCTGAGGTTAAGGACAAGATCTCTCCCGCCCCTGATTCCATTTCACGGAAGCCAGCCAGAGAGGCAGCTGACTATTTCTTCAAAGCTGGTGTTGGAGCCTCCTCCTCTGCCACACCTGCGGTCGCCAGGTCACTTTGGGGCTGGTCGTGTCTCTCCCACAACTTCTGCCACTCCCTGCCTCCCGGCATGTGCTGCCTGAGGCAGCTGTCTCATTCCACCTAATGGTAGGGCCGTCCTGGGTCTAAATCTGAGCAGTATTGCCCAGAGGCTGGAGTGCGTGGCATCTTCTTATTCCCTGTGCCTTCGTAGCCCTTTCTTCCTTGCCAGGTATTGCTGATTTAGCTCCCCTTCTCCCCACAGACCAATAAAAGGCCGTTAGAGCACCAATTAGCTCCTTTTGTCTTCCGTGAGACTAGGAGACCTGCCATTGGCTATCTCCCACTTATCCCATTTGGGCGTAATGGATTCTGCAGTGGCAGAAGACTTTGAAGGGGAACACAGAGAGAGAGGCGCAGAAGGAAAGAGAGAGAGAGAGAGGGAGAGGGAGATAGAGAGAAAAGATGCCTGTGAAGTCCCCCTGGGCCTCTTAGCTGCCCTGCCAGATGCCTGAACTGTTTCCGAGATGTGACTAGAGAAGGAAAGTAGATCGGATGAGGTCTTTATGCCCCAAAAGGCCATCTTCAGAGCCGCGATGATTCATACCCCCTGTCAAGAGGCCGGGCTGACTAGCTTTCTATTCCGGGGCTTAGGAACATCTGATTTATTAGTTCATTTATGGAACAATAGGGAGGGCGTGCGGAGCGGGGAGTGGGGTGAGGGGAGAGGAAGTTGTCCTGCGGATTAGCAAAACTACTCACGGACATGCATACACACTGCCATGCGCTCACAAGAGGCATTATTGTGATGTGAGGTGCTAACTAGCTATCTGGCCAGCGGGGAATGCAGTGAGATATTAGTGGGGGCTATGAGAAGGAAGGGCCACCGAGTGGAATGTCTTATTCTGAGTCCAGAAAGTGGAAGAAAGAAGAAGAGGAAAACTTGTTTTTGCAGGATGCACTGTTGACGTGTGGAATTTGCTGTCGCAGGAGGTGGTGATGGCCACAGGCTAGGCAGCTTTCAAAGGGGAACTGGGGGGAAGACTGTTCTGGTCACCTTACGCTCACATGATAGAGCTGGAAAAGTTCAGAAAAGGGCCGCTGAAATGATCAAGGTGATGGAGTGACTCCTGCATTAGGAAAAGTTGCATAGTTTGGGACTTTTTTATTTAGAGAGGAGCCAAGGAACAGGGGACATGACAGATGTGCATAAAATTTTGCATGACACTGAGAAAGTGGACACAGAAAATTTTTTCCTCTGTCTCTCTGAACTCCAGAACTCACAGATATCCAATGAAGCTGAAAGTTGGAAGACTCAGGGCAGAAAAAAGGAAGGATTTCTTCTGGGTCTGGAAAGCAAGCCTTATGAGGAATGGTTGAAGGAGCTGCGTATGTTTAGCCTGAGAGGAGGTTATAGCCATCATCAGATAGCTAAAGGGCTGGCTCCTGGAAGATGGAGCAGGATGGGTCTTTGGCCTGATCCAGCAAGACACTTCTTAAGTTCTTAGAGTGAGGCGACAACAGCCCCCCTCCCTCCCCAGGAGTGCAACCATTCCATCTGAAACCAGTCCCTTCTGGTGAGGAGCTGAGGCTGCTCTGTTCCTGTTAATTTTCGCGGCGCAGCTGTCAGCGGGTCTGTAAATAGTACTCCGCAAAGCCAACACTTTTTCCCATCCACACATCAACTGTTCAATTAACAGAAGAAGGATATATAAAGTGTGCCACAGCCTTTGATGCTTCCCAGCAATTTATGAAAGTGTACACAAATCTAATTACAAGCCCCACTGCTTCCCATTTACATGGTGCCTCTCGGGTTTGGAGCGGTTTATATCAAAATAATTGTTAAAAAATATATCAGTGCTGATCTACGACACCCGTGGCCCTGACACTGCCAAGGACCATTGTGATCCTCCTTGTCAGGCAGTTTTTTCTGCCAACTTAGCGGTTTGGCTCCACGGTGCATATACAATGCGTGGCGCTCTCCCTGCTCCCCCTTTTGCAGGATACAACTTAATTGAGATCGCATAGGCTGCTTTCCTATAGCCAGATTCGCTATCCTGGTGCTCTCCAGAGGTTCTTTGACTACAACTCCCATCATGCCCAGCCAGCACTGGCAGGGGATGAAGGGAATTGTAGTCCAAAACTTCTGGAGAGTTACAGGTTGGCAAGAACTCTCCCACAGTGGTGCTTCCATCTTTGGGTGCTTGTATCCACGGGCCAAATCATTGGTCATACACAGGTGTGGCTATATTTTCATCTTTTTTTAAGGGATGGGTGAATCTTGTCAATTTCTGTCTCTTTCTCATTTTTCCAGTCTCCACATTTTTGCAGCCTCCTGATATAAACAGTTTTGCGTGGCGTTTTTGGCTACTATGCATAGTTTAGCAATCAAATCCCCTTAATATAAGGTACATATGCATGCTATTTTCACTAATACGTGCATTTTAGACACTCCCCCCCAAGCTATGTATTTTTGTACCTATTACCTGGCTGGAGAGCGGCACCACAAAATTCAGAGAAGTGTGAATTTTGAAGGGTGGCTGTGTTTCGCTTTGCGTTTTGTAGGTATTATTATTATTATTATTAATAATAATAATTCAGTTTATACACCGCCCTATGCACGGAGGTCTCAGGGCGGTTCACAAACAAGACCACAACATATAAAATCAGCATATAATAATCCAATACCCCCCCCCAAAAAAGAGCCACGTTCTAAAAAGGTGTAGGTATTCTCAGTTTGCATGTTAGGTTGTTTCTCATTAAAATGCAAACAAAGTTGAATTTCTCCCCCAGAAACATCACCCTCTGACCCAGCAACCTTTTTTAATCTGCTGGGCAACAGGAGGGAGCAGTCATGAAGGAACCAGGGAAGGCACAAAAGCAAGAAATGGAGAGAACCAAAATTGATAGAGTCGTGCATCCCTAGGCTCAAGCCACATATCTCCTTCAAAAACAATTGACTAATGGTCCTTTCCTTGTTCATTACTTAGGGATGAATCCTGTGGCATGTACATGCGTGTGTGTAAAACCAAAGGTGGTTCATGCACATTACCCTACACCTTTCCAGTGGGGGCAGAGGAGCATGCCGATAATAATCTTGTACACTGAAAAATGCCAGGGAGATTAGCCTATCCTGAGCCTTCTCCCCAACACACGTTTTCTTCATAGAATCATAGGATTGTAGAGTTGGAAGAATCCACTAAGGTCATTTAATCCACCACCCTGAAATGCAGGAATCTTTTGGGCCAATGTGGGACTCGAATCCATGACCTTGAGAATGAGAGTCTTATGCTTTACTGACTGAGCTATGTCATTTACTACAAGGATTATCCCCCACTGAACTCTCATGGAGAAGTATACCTCTGCAGGGGAATCACAACTGGGGAGAGTGCTCATGAACTCAAGTCTTGCTCAATGGATTGCCATGGGAACCAGGGTGGCCACCATGAGAACAGGATGCTGAACTCAGTGGGTTCCCATTGGCTTGATCTATCAGGGATCTTCTTATGTCCATCTCTAGTCCAGAACTATCTGCTGGAGCATATTTAATAGGGACAGAGGTCCCCCCCCAAAATTGGTCAAACTGTTTATGTATTGTACTACGGCAGCCAGAATTCTGTACGCACTGAAATGGAAAGAAGAAGTTCCAACGAAAGAGGAGTGGACTTGGATATTATTGGACTACGTGGAGGTGGCGAAACTGATAGCAAAAGTAAGAGACCAAAAAGAAGAAATGCCTGCAGAAGAATAGAGACCCTTTTTGGATTATCTGAGAAAATATGAAATGAAATCGCAGGCAGAACTTGAAATAGAAGCAAAGGAATGAGAATGATAAAGGAATGTAATTTAGGGAATATGTTTTAGTGAAATGTTACATTTATGGCAGCAGATGAGTGATTTGAATAGAAACATCGTGGAAGTAAGGGTGGGAAGTCAAAATCTTAAGGGAATACCGCATTGGAATTGACTTCAGTTGGTTAAATTGTTTGAAAACTAATTGAAAAATTATGAAAGCAACAAGAGAGAACTTCCACTGGCAGCACAAGGTCTTTCCCACCTAGCTCTGCTCCTTGAGTTGCCAGGGGTTGAACCTATGACTTTTGGATACCCATTGCCTCTCAGTGACTGGTCCGTTGATGGAACTCAGCACGATGATTCTGACATTATTGACCTACAGGGGGACTACAGGAAACATGGCGGGTGCAAGGCAGCCTGGCTTCCAGGGGAGGAGGAAAGAGAAATGAAACTTTCATCAAAGAAAGTTGCCTTTTTGGAAACCATTAGGTAGCATATGCTGTGTGAACAGGGAGCCACAGTGCAGCAATAATCCTGACAGCTGTGGAGGAGCAGGAGCTTGCCTCAGGAGCAAACGGCTCGAGACCTGACAGGAATGATGATGCATGCCCCCATTGGCGGAACATGAGGATGGGGAGAGCAAGGCTGAAATTGGCTGAACTGAATTGGAAGAGTTTGGATTTGATATCCTGCCTTTCACTCCCCTTCAGGAGTCTCAAAGCAGGTAACATTCTCCTTTCCCTTCCTCCCCCACAACAAACACTCTGTGAGGTGAGTGGGGCTGAGAGACTTCAGAGAAGTGTGACTAGCCCAAGGTCACCCAGCAGCTGCATGTGGAGGAGCGGAGACGCGAACCCAGTTCCCCAGATTATGAGACTACCGCTCTTAACCACTACACCACACTGGCTCCTCTCTCTTTTACAGAATGAAGGTCCAACAGAACTGGATTGGATCCAGCACATGGAACTATGGAACTTGCTCCTGTTTACTCACTTTGTGGTGTTACCCTCTGCATGAAAATTGGGGGCAAGGTGGTTCTGTGGAATCAATGGGTGACAGAGCTGCTGTCTTCGCTAAACCAGTTGGCGAGTCCAGATGACAATGTTTCCCCTCTCTTTTGGGGGGACAGAGGGAATCAGTTCAGCCTGTCCCCTTCAGCAGAGTGGCAGCATTTGCAACATCTAAGTCTCTTAGTTTCTGCTTATAACCTAGCAGCTTTAAGCGCCTCTGAAAAACCAGGTTTATTAGAAGACTGGATCACCTTGATCCATAACCCACAACCTACCCTTATAAGATCCTATTGTGTTAAGCGAAATCTGATGTGAATAGCTAAGAGAGCTGGACTGCCTCCCACACTTGAAACCATGGCAAACAGTGTTGGCATGTCTAAGGTTTCTCTCATTGTATTTGGAACATATTGGGACTTCTCATGTGGTGTAGTGGTTAAGAGCGGTAGACTCGTAATCTGCTGAACCGGGTTTGCTTCCCTGCTCCTCCACATGCAGCTGCTGGGTGACCTTGGGCTAGTCACACTTCTCTGAAATCTCTCAGCCTCACTCACCTCACAGAGTGTTTGTTGTGGGGGAGGAAGGGAAAGGAGAATGTTAGCCGCTTTGAGACTCCTTAGGGTAGTGATAAAGCGGGATATCAAATCCAAACTCTTCTTTGTCAAAAATGTCTTGCACTCATAGACACCTGCTCACACTGTGGTACCCTACCACAGGGCTGAAGCATATGATCTGGTCATGCCCTCCAATGGCGCCATTTGGAATGTGAGTCATTGTCTGTGATAACTTGGTCTTGAAAGCACATGCTAAACTCAGGTCTCTTCCAACAGCGTGAGCCTTGATGGAGGGGTAACGTAACTGGATTTTTCTCACCCTTTACTCACACCTTCGTTTAGGGAAGCTTTTAATGTTTAACAGACCACTGTATTTTAATACTTTGTTGGAAGCCACCCAGGGTGGTTGGGGAGACCCAGCCAGATGGGCGGGGTATAAATAATAGATGATGATGATGATGATATCTATCTTATTATTATGCTGTGCTTTATTATTTTGCTGTGCTTTTAGTATTATCCACCATAAATTATGTTCTTAAGGTTGTACACAACCCTGGGTTCTTTGAATAAAAGGTGGTGGTGTGTGTGTGTGTGTGTATCTCAGTTGGTTAGCTGATAATGCCCAGGTTGCAGGTTTGATCCCCGTATGGGACAGCTGCATATTCCTGCATTGCAGGCGGTTGGACAAGATGACCCTCAGCGATTCCTTCCAGCTCTACAACTCTATGTTTCTATGATTCTAGAAAGTCTGGTGTTACAACCCAGGAATGTACATCTTGCCCAATCGCTCATGGGCTGGAAGACTTGGCTACTTTCGCAGTATACGAAAACCTGCCTTCAGTAGGCAGCTCCAACGGACCGACTACTCGAGCATTTGGGATCCATGACCTGGAATTATTTGCCCAACAAAGAGACTAGTCCTCACCGGCATTGTCTGGCTTCCGTGCAACGCATTGATGGCAGCCTGCGCTTCCGCATGTGAGGAATATTTCACAAACGCGCACCCTGTAGGGAAAAAAAGAAGAGGAAAAAGATATAAGAAGGCAGAACGCATGGAATGGTTGGATTAGATGATTCTTGGCATCCCTTCCAAGTCTACAGTTCTATGATTCTATCAATGAAAAGAGCAGAACCGACATCTCGGTGTAACCTGAATCCTTTCCCCAGGCAAAAATCAGTGTTTGTGATTCCTTTGCTAGTCCCTCAGAAGGAGGGGAAGAACATTTTAAATCGAAACAGCTTGTAATGCTACAAGCTGAATCAAAACAAATTTGATGCCATAAAGTCTCCTTTACACATGCTGTTACGGAGTGTTATTCAGATATTCTCTAAATATGTGAGTATTTGTCAAATATTGGATCTTTCTGCTTGATACCCAGTGCTGTTGGGTTAGCTGACATGCAGTGGTGTCTGTCAAATGACATGCAATGGTGGCTGATGTGCCTGTCAAAGCGGCTTTCACACTTTCCTACATTCAGAGAAACTCGCTCACATGGAGTGAGCCTCAAAGTGCTTAAAGGTAAAGGTAAAGGGACCCCTGACCATTAGGTCCAGTTGTGGCCGACTCTGGGGTTGCGGTGCTCATCTCGCTTTACTGGCCGAGGGAGCCGGCGTACAGCTTCCAGGTCATGTGGCCAGCATGACTAAGCCGCTTCTGGCGAACCAGAGCAGCGCACGGAAACGCCGTTTACCTTCCCGCCGGAGCGTTACCTATTTATCTACTTGGACTTTGACGTGCTTTCGAACTGCTAGGTTGGCAGGAGCAGGGACTGAGCAATGGGAGCTCACCCCATCGTGGGGATTCGAACCACTGACCTTCTGATCGGCAAGTCCTAGGCTCTGTGGTTTAACCCACAGCGCCACCCGTGCTTACAGAGCTCTAAAACAGAGACTATAGCCACTGGTGAGCATCATTCATAGTTATTGAGTCCCTGTTTCTCAGTTCTTTGCCTGGGATGTGTAGTTTTCACTTTTACATCTTATTTCTCAGGGTTTTGTGGGGAAAGCTCAAGAGATTTGACTTAATGCAACTATTCTATCTAGCTGCAGGTGGTTGGACTAGATGACCTTTGGGTCCCTTCCAACTGCAAATTTTAGGATTCTCTAATATTTTCATGGTTGGCAAGGCTTCTCTCCTCTGCCTGACAGAATTGATGTCTGTGAACGCTGTCACCTCTCAAAACAGCTGCTGACATATGAACTCCCTCAGTAAGACTGGAATAATCTTTCGGGTTCTTGCACATGATGATATAATACGAGAGGATCAATATTTAATGCCGAGAGAAGGAAAGGGTCCCTATCCAAACTGAAAGAGCTGACAGATAACGGCTAGGGGAAAGGAACGAACTTCAGATTACATGTTAAATTAGTTTGCAAACTCTACAGATGACAAAATGTCAGTGGTTGAACCCGATATTTGCAGGGTTTTGTTTTTTTTAATGCCCACCTGAAAATATATAAATTGCAGGTGGGGAGAATTGTTCGATGAATAGTAATCAAAACACTCCCTCCCTCCTTCCAATCCACTTGGTGCAATAAAGGCACTCCCCCACTTATGTGAAATTACATAAAGTGGGAAGCACCCAACTTTAAAAAGGGGCGGGGAGAGACTCACCCTGGAAATTTCCAATATCAGGGATAGATATAAGATACATGTTCAAAAATACAGTAAAGGTTCGCTGTCTATGCTAGCATTCGATTGACGTTGGAGAGAGACTGAGTCGAGAAATAAGACCAAGGGTACATATTGATATAGGAATGTATTAGATAAAATGTAAAGAAATATACAATAATAAGAGTACATTAATTTGTAAAAAAAGGAATATATAACGGGATAGGCAGGAAGTCGAAAGTGCATATATGATTTTGGAATAGTTTTTTGTCTTTGTTTCTTTTCTTTAGGTATATAAACTTTGTATACATGAAGTTTATATTATTATTATATTATATTATTATTA